GCCAAATTTGAATTTCACCTCCCATCCCATGTGCGATGGAGTGAATTTCGTCCAACCCTATTTCCCTTAAGGATTCTGGAACATTAACTATTTATTAATTTATATTCAACGCTTTTAATTAATTCAATACTATTTAATTAATTCCCAAAATATATTTTTCCAATTAGTTTCTACTTAATTAATTATTAAACCATAATAATTAATAAACTAATTTCTCCTTTATTTATTCTACTCAATTTGGGTCATGTGGGAAACCCAAAAGGACCATGTTATTTTTAGAAATGTCATCAATAGTTAATGACCTTAGACACTCTTTCCAACAGGTTCACGAGACTTCTCGAAACCTAGGCAACGCAACCAAAACGAACCCAATCACCTGAAATTACTCAACTGCAATAACTACCTTTCTCACCACCGACGGTCTGATCAAACCCCAACAAAACCACTAAAAATGGGAAACTTTCAATACTAAAAACAAAAACCAAGTCCAATGGTAGATTTCACAAGACCGAAAACTCATCTGTCTGAAACCCTAGAATTCATACTCTAAGACTTATGATTACTTTTGATATACACATCCCTCAGCCACGTTGACTAGAAACTCTGACAACCCACTACGAAGTGAACAACCGGAACACCCCGTTTGTTCCCACATATGTACCAACTTCCCAGAATATTTAATTATGTTCAAAAATCCATAGTCGTTCGTATTCTTGGGAGTGAATGTTGGTATTAAAGAATGTCATGAGTATTGGTTGATTGGCCAAATTTGTTTTGGCCATTGCAATTGGGATTGCGCTAATATTGCATGAGTACTTGAAACTAGATATTTTAAGTATAGGAACAACCCGCACTTAGAGATTACATTATGCATCTAGTCACAAGTAATTCTAAGCGACAATATCTTTTATTCTTCAAGCCAAGATATACATGGGGTTTTGTTTTCAAAATATGTTATGCATTCCTGTGCTCCAACGCTATCCGTAACTGGTAGTCATAAAGGATATTTCCAAGTATGATTATACGAGTAGGCAAAAACTATGTAGTCAAAGTTTATTTGTTCCTTCTCGTAACTGGGAAGCAATATCTATGGACCCCTCGATGATTTAGTGCTGACATCTGAAGTTCTTAGCCGAGCCCTGATTAAATTGGTGTGTTCGATTTAGTTGCCAGATGTAATATTAGAAATTTGTCATCGGGAAATAGAATTATGCACAACGATATTGACTCATATACATCACTCATGTTCATAGAGATGTCTAGAACAAAGGAATAAATTGATCACTTGTCTAAGGACTGAATTTTAATTCTAATTAGAGTTTGGCAGTAGCATAGATGACTACTCTTTGTTGATTATTAGCGAAATATTTTGATTGCAAAAAGGTGACGACCTGTACAAGTGGGGGACTATTGTAAATGGTGTCCAAGGTCATTAACTATTTTGATAATATTTATAATAATAGCAGGGTCCTTTTGGGTTGGCCTCATGACCCAAATTACATAAGGAAATGGAGATTAATAACTTGTTAATTTATTAAGGAATTAACAAATTAATTTGAAATTATTTTGGTAAATTGATTAAAAGGATTTAGTTAATTAAAAGAGCTTGAATATTAATTAATCATAATTATTAATGGAATATTCCAACCCCCCCCCCCCCCCCCCAAAGCCTAGGTATGGACACTTTTGAGCATCCTTGGATAAGGATGATGTTGGTTGGAATCAAATAAGGATAAACCCAAGAGTTTGTATCCATCTAGGATTCTATCAACTGTCAATATATAGAATGATAGGGTAAACCCTAAATCCAGTTACTCATCTCTCTCAATTCATCCATACTCTATCTCTCTTACTTTCTAATCCAAAAATCACAACCTCTTTCCTAGGGTTGGTGATTTTTGAATAAACCCTAATTTGTGGGCTCTTCCTTTTGCTACTTGGTGTGTGAGTCTTATTCCATTATAGGGGTTCTCTTTTGGATCCTTCATTTTGTAACAAATTGGCACGTACGAGATCACAAAGAAGGAATCTAAGGTTAGTAATCTTTATTTTGGGTGTTTTGAAAGTTTGTTGCTATAATAGAAAAACATAGATCTTAGGTTGTGTGTGTACTTAGGTATATAAAGTTTTGATTTTTCTACTGCCTTAGACAGTGTACTTGATGCTTAAAATACCCAACACATACTACAACATATCTACATCCTAACATACAAAGGACACATACTGTAACATATAGTATAGTGAGAAAATCACATGAACGAAACAACAGAAACTCAAAAACAGTCTCTACAACAAAACAACTAGCACAAAACGACTAATAACAATCCAAGACAATGCCTTAGTCAAATACTCAAATCCATCAAAGTTTGACAAAGAGTCAAATTGTTCAAAATGTTAACGGTCATCGCGCCGTGACCACTAGGCGACAAAATAGTCATGATTGCTCAAAGCTTGTGCAATGAGACATGAACCCAGTTGCACCGTGAAATCTAACTTAACGACATTTCCTATTAAGCACTTAACACTTAAAGACGGGAGCTCCAAGTCTCAGATCTGAAACTCTTAAACATCTTAATGGATAAAGTTTCCAACTTTATACATCTCATTGACTTAATCAAGTAAATTCAAACCCTAAGTCCAAAAGTGCCCAAGATGCACTTATCATAATGCATGGAGAAAATAGGGCTCTTGCATGCACTCTTTATTCCATCATGAGACCATATCTGGAACCAAACGTGAATCAAATCTCAAGAGTTCTCCAAACTCTATGGATCAAGACACCAAAAGGGACCAAAACTCAACTATTCATAGATCTAAGTATGAAAAAAGTTAAAGGTTGAATATTTGAACTTATAAAGGTCCAGACGGAGTAGAAAATACTGAATATGTCAAGTGTTATGCTCAAATGATCAATCTTTCTTGTGTTCCTTTACTCATGAACACAAAACAACACCAAAAATAGATTTAAGAGAGAGGATGAGCTCAACACACTTCAAGGGAGGCTAGGGTTTTAGTAGAGACATTCTTGGGGAGGTAGAGGTTGATTAGCGCTCCTAAATAGGTCCAAATCCTGAGGCTTCTAGGATTTAGCCCACCAGGCCCTTTGCATTGTGAGCTTTATTAAAGATCGCACCGCAAAGTCGTCGTGCCATGACCTCTAAATCTTTCGCGGGTACCGTTGAACTAACCAGTGACCCCCCCCCCCCCCCCCCCCCCCCCCCCCCAAAAAAAAAAAAAAAAAAAAAAAAACTTAATAATTTCAATTTAATACTCTAAAAGCTTTCCAGAGAATTGACTGTTACTAATGTTTTGAAAATGGGACCGAAGACGGGACCGACCGTCTTACCGGTTCAATGGTTCAATTGGTTCAACCGGTTAGACCAGTTTCAAATACCGGAAAAATTGGATGATGTCATAATTACATTATTTTAATTATATAAAAATATAAAAAATGAAAAAATAAATATTTTTTAAACTTTTGGGTTTTTACCGATTTACATGATAAACGTTTTTAGGACTCTAGAATCGGATCCGGGACCGACTCCCCGTTAAATAGGTTGAACTGACCGGTCCGGTCCTATTATGGGTTGTTACAAAAAACCTTTAATAATTAAACGAATGCGTAAAGTTATGTTCACACCAGGGGTGGACTTGGGGGTTTTCTGGGGCGGCCAGTGCAACCTCTCAAATTTTACAGTACAATGTAAATATTTTCAGAAAATTTTCAATGTAATGTAAATTTTCTGGTGTGCCACCCTAAAATCATGTGTCCAACCCCATTTGTTTTTTCCTACGTCCGTTGTGATCGTCACTAGTTCACACCATCTTATATTAATCTTTTTAATATTTTAAAATTTCTAAATTTATGTTAAAAATAAACATAAAAATAATTATCATATAACCGAATAAAAAATCAAGACTAAAATTTAAGAAATCTAACATCCTTGGACTTCAGTTTTTACAAAATTTATATTTCAATATAGTTCAAATTTTAATTTTTTCATAACAGAATATAGTTGAAGTTAAAACTCGAATCAAACCAAAATACCCTATATTCCTTCATCAATTATCATGGGTGAAGAAAGTTGGGCTTCCCCCTATCCTTTCATTTAACTGGGCCCACACTTTTTAGTTTACGGGTTTTATTTTGTCACATATTACATTTAGAATCTTTAAAACTCTGCTTTCAAGAGAAGAATATTCCAATCCAAAACAAAATTCAACATACATGCACTTGTACATTGTACTCGGTAAAAAAAAGGATAAATGGCCATATAACTTTTTTATAGTTATTGGAAGTAGTAGGATGCTCAGTGTAATAAAATTAGATTGAATATTTTTTCCAGATTTTTTTGTATAAATATATTCAACAAAACATAGCATTAAGATTTTAATAGATAAAGTATATTCGAGAACGAGTTTCCGAGAACTTTTATCTTTTTAGAAAAAAATCGAATTTAAGAAAAAACTTTGATAGGAAAATACATGTTTAAAGCTCTTATTTTAAACTAAAAGAACTCTTAATCCAAATGTTAATTCAATTAGCATTTGAAAGCTTTTAGTTTATACTTTCTTCGTTGTTGTGTCCGATATGTTCTTCCTCGATGGAAGTCTTGGATCATTTTCTTGTTTCATGTGAACTTGAGTTGAATATTTTGCGACATATTTTTGGTTTGTTAGATATGGTTCTCCCAAATTGGCAGACTATTGATTATATTCCATTGTGGGCTGGATTCCGTTTCAGGTGGTAGGAAGAAAAAATATATATATATATATGTTGGATGCTTTATTTTTGTGATAGTTTGGAAAATTCTCAACTACTTTAAAACTTTTTTGTTTAAACAAAAAACTTCTAAGTTTATATGGAAAAATATTTTTCTTTAATTCGGGGTATTTTACAAGTCCCTAAAAACTCTCATAAATATAAATGAAATCTTATTGATATCCATTGGTTTTTAATATTAATGGATATTATATTATGGAACTTAATTAGAAAGAAACTACACCAAAAAGTATATATCATCTCGTAATCGTGATTTTTTTATAGAACGGAACATAAAATACAAACTATACCTACACACTATATCTACTACTATCTTCTTTCATAGTTCCAAAAACCACTAACCGCCACCACAACAACCAGTGGACCGCCGGCTACCATTCGACCCACCACCACCTCACGGTGGTTGCAGACCATTCATTTACCAAACTACAAAAATAAAACAAAAACCATTTACACCAAAAAAAAAAGTCACGACTTTCACACATGATACATCATTCCCACTTCAAGAGTCGAAGCATGAGGCACCATTAACGAGTCCGTTGAAGGTCTACTATTTCTTCTCAAAAACTCATACCCATAATTAATAAAAAGCTTCTTAATCATAGAAGACCCTTGTTTTGCTTTAACATACGAATGTCCCAAAATATAAGCCACCCCTGCCTCCCTGGCCTCCATTAGGTCCCGCAACTCCGCCCGTGACCCGTCATCAATTTTCGGGCTTTCCGGCACAACAAATCTCACGCGTTTCTTCACTTGGTTCGCGGTTGAGGCTTGTATTTCCTCAACCTCTGGTAGCCCAAGCCCATCTGGGCTTGGGCTACAGATGTGAACGCCTTCCACGTTCGTGGAAGGCATTCCAATAACAGTCATGACCTCATCATTGTTTCCGAACTCTCCGTCTGTACGCGCGTCAAGGGTAGAATCGTCTTTTTGCTTCCGGATAAACTCGGCTATGCTACATACCAAATCTTTTTCAAACTCCACGTCATCTTTATGAACATCACGGTACCCGTACCGGACTATACACCGGTACACTCTGTATTCTCGTGGGCCGATACGGCCCACGAGAAACCGTTCCTCCGGTCCCACGTGTGGGACCGGGACGGATTTCACACACAGGAAAATCAAAACCTGGTGGAAAGCCGGAAGGTTGGTGACAAAATGGGAAAATATCGCGGGGATACCAGACACGAGTTCAGTGTGAACAAGCCCGATTCCTCGAACCCGAACTATTCCTAGGGTGGGGCCCAGGCTAAGTAGCCAATCGACGGATACTTTGTTTTGGAGGTCAAATTCGTACTTTTTGAGGGTCCCGTAGTGCCACACGTACATTACAAGCATGAAGATGAGAGACAGTGCGATTGGGACCCACGCGCCTTCGAGAAATTTTATTAAAGAAGCCGAGAAATATAAGGCTTCGATTGTACCGAAAAATACGACAAAAGCGATTGCGAGAAAAACACTTTGCTGCCAACATAAGACGATTACGAGGGACATTAAGCATGTTGTAACAAGCATAACCGTAATAACCGCCAAACCTAAAACAAAAAATATAGCTGTATAAAGTGTTATGATGTTTAAAAGATATTTGGAAGGCTAAATACAAGAAATAGCAACATACCTGAAGCATTCCCCATACGTTTTGTATCTCTAAACCCAATAGTAACGGCTAGACATAACAACATCAAGATCCAATTAATCTCGGGGATATAAATTTGCCCGTGATATTTTGAAGACGTATGGACGATTTTGACCCTGGGAAAACATCCAAGTGAAGAGCATTGTTTTATAATCGAAAAAGTCCCTGTAATAATTGCTTGGCTTCCAACTACTGCAGCAAGTATGGCTATCAACAACACCGGGATCCTCAAATTCTCTTAAAAAAAAAAAAAAAATCAACCATCACTTAACCTAACCATAGTTAACTTAACCATTGACCATAGTTAAGTTTAAAAAGTAACTTATTACCTGGCACGGAAATATAGAATCCAATTTTGTAGTCGTTTTCAATGAAATGATGTTGAGATAAATACGCAGCTTGCCCCATATATGCAAGAATCAAGGAGGGATAAACAAATGATGTAAAAGCTATCTGAAAATAAATAAATAAATTTATAAAAATACATTGCTATTTTTCTTAGAATTGAGAAAAGTGTCCACTATCAACAAACCTGGATAGACAATTGAGAAAAGTGTCCGAGATCAGCAAACATAGCTTCCGACCCTGGAAATAAAAGTAAAAAACAAAAAAAACGAAAACTTTATATTAAAAATCGAAAGTTTATACAAAAAAAGAACGAATTTGAATTTATATAAAAAAAATGGTTACCTGTGATGCATAATAAGATACCCCCTAAAGATTTCCAACCTCCGGTTTGGGTTTTTTTGAGAAATCGATACATATGAACAGGAGATAATGCTTGATAAATTTGAGGATTCCAATGGAGAATATTGTATAATCCAATTGAACTGATGCATAAGAGCCATAATACAACGATTGGAGCAAATAAGAACCCGACCCGGTGGGTCCCATAATGTTGTAGGGCGAATAGTGCGATTAATATGATACATGCAACAGGGACTTCTACATCTGCAACAATAGGTTTAAATTTTAATCGTTATTTGTATATAAATAATGTAAATCTTATGATAAAATGTAGCTCGTTATTTATTATTTAGGGTAAAATTAATCGAATTTCGAGAATCGAGGTGTATGTAAAGGGTTTGCATTTTGTAACAAACAAAGCCCAATAACATGTCAACCCGAAATATCAAAGTGACCCAATTGTGAATTAATCCAAGTGGGACAAGTTATTATAGTTAATTATTCGACACATACAAAAGTGCAAAACATTGATATAAGATGAAACCTAGGATTTCTCAGTAACTTCTTCCCATTTAAAAGGAGGGTTTATCTTGTTTTATTTACAAGTTTATTTATAATAACATGGCATTTTTTGATGTTTTTAATCGGAAATTTTAACTTTTTTCACTCGCAAGTTGTTGTAAATTGGGGTTATGAGTTATAGCATTTTACTCATGATAAAAGCAAGAAAGTAAAGACAAGAGATTTTTGTTTTGAGAACCTAGGATAAAAAGATTACGAGGTATCTTAAATCTTAAAATCTTAAATCTTAAATCTTACATTTGTGATGCTCTTTTGCCATTGCAAGTTCCACCCCAGAAACGGCTGAAAAAACTGCAAAATCATCATAAAAATTGAATCGATTTAGCGTAAAGAAAAAACAAATAACTTTTTGGACATAAATTTCGTAGATTTATTACCAAAAAGAAAGATTTGTTATAACAAATACCAATCTTTAAACAAAGATCGACACCAAAAGGAGGCTAATTTTGTGATTTTGTCCTCAAAAGATGATCATGAAGAATTGGGGAAACCATAGATTGGGAAAATAACAATCAACAAGAATCGATCTTTAAAGAAACCTAATTAGATAGAAATAAAATCAAATGAATGATGTGATTGAATCTAATTATAACAAACCTGAAAGGGCAGGAGTAAGAACACCATCTCCAATCACCATACAAGCTCCAACAAGAGCCAACACAAGCAAAAACTTCTGCAAAACTCCATGTTTCTCAAGTGTAGATTTAAGTCTTGACCCGAAAGAACTCAGGGCTAAATTAGGTATTTCCTTTTTGTAGTTTGAGAGTTCTTCATCAGCTAATTGACAATTAGGCAATGAACTCACTCTAGCATGTCTACAAAGCAACGAATACAGAGCAAATGTGCCTCCTTCGCCATTATCATCAGCTTTGAGCACAATGAACACGTATTTCAACAAAGGGACTAAAGTAAGAGTCCAGAAAATGAAAGAAAGGGCTCCAAATATTTCTTCATTAGTTTCTGAGTGTTTAATATCTTCTGCAAAAGTACTTTTAAACACATATAATGGAGATGTGCTTAAATCTCCATAAACGACACCCAAACTTTGATACGCCAATGTCAAAACTGCTCTCCATGACTGTTTCTGTAAAAATCGGAAGAAAACAACACAAAAAATTCAAATGGGTGTATTCGAAGAACCCTAAATCAAACAAATTATACATACTCAATCTTACCCTTAGATGATTTTGACGAGACCCAGTTTCCAGATCCATGATAAGTCGCTTCAAATCGCCAACGATGCAGGTATTAATTTGATAAGCCGAAGACCCATTTAGGAAAAAGTAATCAAATTGAGTTGAAACAGCGATTTAATGGCTAAATCTCGATTGAAAAGGTGGAACTGAGGAGTTCTAATAATTAATTAACTAAAATGGGAAGAAACCACCCACCCTCGTAAAGAACATTGAATAAAATAGTCTGAAGTTGGTAAAGAAACACCAACAACACTAATTCACAGCAATGGATGGAGAAAATTGTTTGTTTAATGTGAGAAAAGTGTTGAGATAGCAGTTGAACTAACAGCAAAGACGAAAAGTTACAAAAGAAGTGCGTAATTGGGGCATAATAACTGTATTTTAATACAATTGCGTGTAAAATGGGTTTGGATTTAGAGAGAGAAAACCGATAAGCGAAGAAGATGAAGAAGATATGTAGTGAATTTTCTTTCGCATTTGGGAATTTATCAGTAAACTTGATTGGTGTTTCTAGATTTTTCCACTTGATCTTTCGTGGCTGCATGTTTCTACCAACGTTTTGACACAAAATTCGTCTTCACACGTAATAAAGATTCAAAGTTACTCAAAGTAGGTCAAAGTGTCAAATCCTTGTTATGGGTCACGTTTACATTTGAAAATAAGAAAAAAAACTTGTAAAAATATTTGCTTTTACTTAAAAAAAAACTATTTTTTTGTTTACTTGCTTTTATAAAAACTATTGATGTTTTGAAAATCTTGCAATTTAATAATAATAATAATCTTTTCACGAGGAAAACCATTATTTTAACATTTGTGTAATATAAAGAGTTATATTCTTTGATAAAGCAAATCAGTGTGAAACTTCGATGCAAAGAGAAAATATATTTATTTCAATATACAAGATCTAAAATTATTCTTGTTAATTTATGTCGATAAAGTCCAAATCAGTAACTTTTGAAACATAAATCATTTGTCTCAAAATTAAATAAATAAAGATATTGTTTTTTAATAAAAAACTGAAAATATAATGACTTGTATGGAATCGTTTCTAAAAACAAAATATATATAATTATAAAATGATAAATTGTATCATCTAAACAATCCAAAAAAAACTTAATTGTTCCAAGGCTCATAACATGGGGATCGACTGTACAACATTAGGAAGGAAGAATAATAACTAGTCTCGTTAGCATTCTTAATAACTAATTCAAAAAGGTAAATAATAAATCAAATTAACTAAGTTTACAAAGTAAATAAATTTAAAAATTGAAGTTCCCTTTTGAACGTGAGAAATTTATAGAAATCGCATGAAACCATGAATTTGAGTTTAGTTAACTCAAAATTTCAAATGTGTCGATATCAAGACCAAAAAAATCTTTGAAACTATATTGGAATTCTAGACTCTCGTATTCCTTATTTTTGTGAATGTGTACAAATTAAGATTATTGATTTTAAATAAATTATAATATTTGTATATTCCTACTTGATATTATAGCTCAAATTTGGATATTGGAAATCACTTTTTTTTCTACTATAAGACCATGAGGTATACTCCCCACCCCATTTATCTCCACCTTGCCACCATCTTGTTGGTGTAAGTACAACATGAGCCATCTTCATGAAGAAGAGAGATAAGAGATAAATAAGGAAAAGAAAAGAGAGGAATAAGGAAATTGGTTGGAGAAAACCCACACACTCTCCCCTAATGCAGCTAATACCTCAAGCTTCTTCCTCATTCGTCGGTTGCTTACCGTGTCACACACCATGAAATGCCACAGTCGTGACACCAGTGATGGTGTGCACGACTGCAACATGGTCGTGGGAGGAGCTCATGACATGTATATTGTTGGCCCTTCCCTCTGGAACCAGAAGTACTTGAAAAATGTTTAAACCACAAACCGTAAGCACAAAGTTTAGTGAGTTCCCCAAAATACCACATACTTGGGATGAGAGTGGGTCCAAACCCGGACCGGTAGACCCGGACCCGGAAAACCCTGAAACCGGTTAACGAGATCTTTTAGGACCGGAAACCGGACTGGTATATAGGAACCGGTTCTGGTTCGGTTCCGGGTAAGGTACCGGGTAAAGCGGGTCTAGAACCGGAAAACCCGGAAATATCACAGTGGGTCGAATGGAACCGGGTAAAGTGGGTCTAATACCGAAAACCCGGGGAACCGGGTAAAGTGGGTCGAATGCATGTCTTAAAATTTCACAAAATACAAAAATAAAGCTGAGAAAAAAAAAGAAAATTCGCAGCTTTGATATCCCAACTTTAGGAGACTATAAATCAATGAATATGAAACCAAAAATGACAAAATTATAGTCTAAAATCATGTACAAACTCTATACTACACTTTGGAAAAAACCGCATGCTATTCCGACTTCAAACGAATTAGATATGCATGTTTTAAATCTATCACAAAATACAAAGAAAGCTGAAAAACATAAAATTTTCAGCTTTGATATCCCGACTTTGAGAGACTATAAGTCAATGAATAAACACCCAAAAATAACAAAATTATAGTCTAAAATAATGTACAAACTATAAACTACACTCTGGAAAAAACCTCATGTCAATCCGACTTCAAACGAATGAGATATGCATGCTTTAAAACTATCACAGAATATAAAAAAAGCTGAAAAACATAAAACTTCCAGCTTTGATATCCCGACTTTGAGAGACTATAAGTCAATGAATATAAACCCAAAAATGACAAAATTATAGTATAAAATCATGTACAAACTATAAACTATACAATGGAAAAAACTTCATGCCAATCCGACTTTAAACGAATGAGATATGCATGTTTTAAAACTATCACAGAATACAAAAAAAAACTGAAAAACATAAAATTTCCAGCTTTGATATCCCGACTTTGAGAGACTATAAGTCAATGAATATAAACCCAAAAATGACAAAATTATAGTCTAAAATCATGTTAAAATTATAAACTATACTATGGAAAAAACCTCATGCCAATCCGACTTCAAACGAATGAGATATGCATGTTTTAAACTTTTCATAGAAACCGGTTCCGGCCCCTAAAACCGGTTCCGGTTCCTAACACGGTTCCGGTTCTTAAACCCGGTTTACCCAGACCCGAAGGACTCGAAACCTGGATTACCCGGAACCCGGATAGAGCCATTCTTTAGACCCGGGACCCGGACCAGTTTTACATATTCCGGTTCTAACGGTTCCGGTTCCGGTCCAGTTTTGCGGTTCTAAATCTCATCCCTACCACATACCATATATATCAACGGGCACAACCTGCACATTGGGCCCAACCTATTATAACGGGCTCAGCCCCACATATCAATGGGCCCATCCCAACATACAAATGGGCCCAACCCAACATACATACTAATGGGCCCAGTCTAGTAAGCATGCCAATGGGCCCATCCCAACATATAATGCAAGCATCACAAAGACAGCTAGCATCCTACATAGTATAGTGAGAAGACTCACCTGACTCACGAATCAGCTCAACCACAGCTCAAGGCCTCGTAATGTAACATCCGGGAATTTGGGTATATCTATTTAACCCTTCCTTCTTTCTAAGTTGTCTTGTTTAGCCCTTAAAAGTAGATTGTGGCAAATGAGTACGTTGGGCGTATTGAAGAGTACGCTGCACGTACTCATGGGCGTGTTTTGGACGCAGACTCCACCTGGTACGCTGGGCGTACCTTAGGCTACGCAGGGCGTAGCAGGTCCAGACTCAAAACCCTAAATGAGACTTGAGCCCTATATAAAGAAAGCTATGGCCTTATCCTCAGCCACCATTTGAGAGAGTGAAACCCTAAGAGAGAGCCAACCTTCGTTCTAAGCTTGTGTGTGAGTGTTCTTGAGCTAAAAGTGCCTTTGTGTGTTAGTGAAGAAGAAGAGGGGGTTCTTGTGAAGGCTAGAAGTTGGAGTGCAAGCTTGGATCTGAGTTCTACAGAGGGAGGAGCTTCACTTGGAGGTAAAAAGCTCTGAGCTTTCCTTGTGATTGTTGATTTGTGCTTCATGGACCAATTTTTAGGGTTTTTGGTCCCAAGGTGGAGACTTTATGAGCAAAAGGTCTCCATAAGCTTAGATCTACTATATTTCAGAGTATTGTGAGTTGAGGGTTCATAAAAATCCAATCTTGGACGTGAATATTAAGCCATGCATGAGATCTAGGCTTTATGAGGGAAGAGGAAAGGTGTTAGAGTGATTAGTGATCTTTACAGCCATGCAAAGGCTTAAAGGTTTCAACTTTATGGATTAAGTGGCCTTAGAGAAGTCAGATCTGAAGTTTGAGTATATGTCTTAACCATTTAAGACCCAAAATCAAAAGGAGTATGAAACTGGGAGTTACGCGGGGGGTAATCCCAGTACGCGCAGCGTAGGGGTCGCGTTCCCCGATTCTGTGAAGTCGCCGGGTACGCCCAGCGTACAGATTTGGTACGCGCAGCGTAACCCAGAGGGTTGACTTTTGTTGACTTTTAGGGTTTAGTCAATGATTGGATCTTTGAGCCATAAGAGGGGTAAAATGGTCTTTTACCCTTCTAAGAGAACTTAGAGTGGGATTATTCTAGCCTTTGAGAGTTGTATTGATTAGAGTAATTGTTCCATGTGATTAGGCGGAGGCTAGACCAGTATTACCGAGTTTGAGATTTACCGAGTTACCCGAGGTGAGTCTTCTCACTATACTTTACCTAGAGTGGTAATTAGAGTTATATGACAGAGTATCTTGTATGCTATTTATGTGATTGTGATGCACTGCATTATTTCTATGTGATTTATGCTGTGTATGTTCCAGAGTTTACAGAGTTGGAACCGGAAGGTTCACAGAGTTAGGACCAGAGGGTCCACAGAGTTAGGACCAGAGGGTCCACAGAGTTATAGCCTCGAGTGGCTAATATGTGCTATATGTGGTATTTTGGGGAACTCACTAAGCTTCGTGCTTACCGTGTTATGTGTTATGTGTTTCAGGTTTTCTCATTATCTCGGGACGGCACAGGCTTGATTGTACACACTAGTGAAAGAATTATGTTTCGAGGATCCTGGATTATTAAGTAATTAAGAAGGGATTGTGTTTTGTAAACTAAACAAATGATGTTTTATGAAATGTGTATTGAGAATCATATGTTTTTCAAAAGAAAATTTGTTTAGAAAATTTACAGTGTTACAAGTTGGTATCAGAGCCTTGGTTTGAGGGATTCGGATGCACCTTCGGGTATATATGGACTCAAACTGAGGAATTGAGGAAAATTTTCAAATAAATGATTTTTCTAAAACGAGCAAGAGTTCCTAAGAGAAAACAAGAAAGAGCAGTGTGTACAATCAGCCAGAGCCCGAACGGTGATTTCCCAAAATACCCTTACTTTATGTGTTATGAGATATTATGAGATGTTATGCATGCTAGAGATAGGCTAGGTATTTCATATTTTAGGACTAGAGTGGCCTGATTTGTGATGCCTTAGCCTAGGAGTTGCTGTTATCTGTGATGCGTTTTCGAGTA